AAAAATGAATAAAAACTATATAGACATTTAAAAAAAAAAAAAAAATTTTAATAATTTTATATATGTATTGTTTCAAAAGTTAAAATGTTTGCTACTGCCCTGTCTGTAGCTAAAGTGGTACTTCCAGAAAGCCCCAGAGAGGTTCTTATCAAAGAATGTGCTGGCGAGCGCTCTGTCGGGACGGCAGGATTTCTCAGGGCTGCTGCTGGTGTCTGTGACACGCTACACCGCGCATATCACAAAGAAACTATGTAGCTATATTTAGCTCAGCGGCTGTGGTCTGCTGTTCAGTGAGGGGTTAAAGCGTGCATGTGAGTGTGAGTGAGTGAGTGCGTGCATGAGAGAGAGAGAGAGAGAGAGAGCGTGTGTGTGTGTGTGTGTGTGTGACTGACAGCAGTCAGCTGTGAATGGCCAGCAGGAGGCAGCAGCAGACACACACCTTCAGCGCTAACGGTCACCTGAGCGTTCAGCGTTTGGTCAGTGCTCAACCTCGCATCACTCATTCATCTCCGGCGCTCATGTCAGACGGTTATTTCTGTTCCGTGAGCCGCAGAGGCCGGTGTCGAGTGACCAAAGCGCCATTAACCGATTCTGAAGATCCGTCTTTCTGACGTTCAATTTGCTACAGCTGAGAGTGAATTAGATGTGATTTATGGGCTGTAAACCGGCGAGGTGTAGCTGGTTCTGGATATTGACCACTTTATATGTCGTTCAAAGTTGTCGATTTGTGGCTAAAATGAGCTGAATTGTGGACTTGATTTGCTGGTAATTAAAACTCTTAGGCAAAGTTTGGAGTCTCTTCTGTAGGTCAGATGCTCTTCTACATGTTTGGGATCGTCTTCTATAGCCTGGTTAGTAACATACTGCGACATTAGCTGAGGTTTATTTTTGAAGCTTTCTAAATGCAGGCTGCTCATGTATGTGTCTGTGCATTGACACGCTAATGCTGAAGGTCCCCTCAAAACAAGTTTCTGAAATAAAAACAATCAGTGCTCGAAATATCATTGAAATCTGACTTATCTATGAATGAAAAACAGGGATGTTTTTGTATGTTTTTTTTTTAGTTGTGTGTTCTGTATACTACTATTAAAATGAATAATTATGATCTTTGCGGTTCAAACCAACTCTAACTGATTTAATACAAATCACCAAAATAGAAAATAGTAACCACTGCAAATAGCAAGCACATCAAAACCGTATTTTATGAAAACAAAATTATGACTGTACAAAACTGTTTTAAAAAATGTATGATAAATAACAAATATTTAACAAGTCTCTAAGAACGTTTAAAAAGTCCAGGTTTAGATGTGATCATCTCATAGTAACAATCCTGTCAGATCGTCCATCCTTTGAGTGAGAGTGTAACGTTACAGGGCAGCCGATCTGGTTTCGTGGTTAAAGCTAACCTTTTCGACATGTTTCCGTGTTGTTGTTGTTGCTCAGCAATGGCATGGACGTGATGTTGTCTGGGGGTGTGGCTAAAGGAGAGCGGGACGGTGGGCCGTGCTCGGGGGGGCGACTGAAGGCGGTGACTGTGTAGTTCTGACCTCAACTTTTTTTACATAAGTCACAACGGTTCGTGAAAAATCACAGCTACTTTAAGCAGGCTGTGTGCATTTTACTGTGGACTGACTGTTTTGAAACTTATATGGTAGTTACATAGCCCCTAGACCTCAGTTATTGTGAAAAACCTTTAATGTTTATTTTTTATATATTAAAATGTTATAATGTCCAGTTTTCTTGTCGTTATTAGAACGTTATTTAAGGGTTAAAAAACATTTCTTAGAATGTTCATCAAATAACATCATAAGAATGTTCCGAGAATGTTGATCCCGGAACGTTTCCTCTCAACGTTATGAGAACGTATATCAAATATTAATTAAAGTTATAAGAACGTTCCATAAACATTACTTTAAGACTGTTTCGTCCTAACGTTTAAATAACGACTATGTATTTGAGCACATGATGTTTTATATTTTAGTCAATGGATTTCTGACTTTTCTTTGTTTTTCCAGCATTCTCCTGCTTGGAGTCGCTATCCTGTCGCTTTACTCCGTTCATCTGTTACTAGTGACGGCCAAAGAAGGAGGTGAGTTTATGGAGAGATGACAAACACACATTAATATATATACGAAACATGCAGTCGATGCTATAATGTCCTCTGGCTCCAGGCTCGCTGATCTACGAGAAGCTCGGAGAAAGAGCGTTTGGATGGCCGGGAAAAATGGCAGCTTTTGGATCGATAACTCTGCAGAACATAGGAGGTAAAGGTGTTATCTTGGAAAATAGCTTGAATCTTTAGCTTTTAGCGTGAGTGATGTGACATTCATGTGTTTGGTTCGTCTTCAGCCATGTCCAGCTACCTGTTCATAGTCAAATACGAGCTGCCGGAGGTGATTCGAGCTTTTCGCGGGCTGGAGGAGAACTCTGGGTAAGTCCCAGTGATGTTTAATGGGTATTTGTGTCTGTATAGCAGTAGATGAAAGCATAATAACTGATTTATGATGCAAATTTGCTGCAGTGTGAGTTTGTGGAGAGAAATATGGATCGATGCATCTATCAAACTTGTACAAAATCGATATATAAGATATAATTTTTTTTCATTATTTTTATATTATTTAACAAATACTAAAATGTGTTTTTTGTTGTAGATGTTCCAACTGGGATACATGATTTGCAATTTTCAATTAAATGTTCATGCATTTGTGAGTTTGCATTGCAAAATGATGTTCTTCCTCAGTATTTTGGTCTTTTTTTACCATTACAAATATCTAAACATTCTTAAATCAAGATGCATTTAGTCTTGATTTCTGAAAAGTGTATCAAAATGATGTTATTTTTAAAGATTCAGATTAGTTTTTAAGAATAAGATTTTTTATGTTAATGAAATTAATATGTACATTTTATATTTACTTTAAATAGATTAAAATATTTTAATTTTTTTAAATGTAGTAGTATTATTATTATTCTTTAGAATATATTTTAAATAATTAATAAATATATTACGACTTGTTTTCTTAAAAATGTAATATTTTTGCTTAAAATGAGAACTAATATCTGCCAGTGGGCTCAGAAAAATAAACCTTATTCAAAGGGAAAACAAGATTATTTTTCTTGTTAGTGAAATTTGTAAATTTTCTATCTATTTTAAATGGATTAAAAAATAAGTGTAATTTTCAAATGTATTATTATGTTTTAGAATATATTTAAAATAAATACTACAAATAATACGTTTAAGAAATTATGTCTTGTTTTTTGAAAAATGTATCAAAATTAAACAAGCTTATGCTAAGAACAGATATCTGCCAATGGGGTCAGAAAAATAGGATAAGTAAGGATATTTTTCTGATATTTTCTCTTTTTTAACTCTTTCCCTGTCAGCATTTTTGAAAAAAGTTGCCAGCCACCGCCAGTGATTTTGATGATTTTCATTAAAATTTGATGGCCTCCAGTATATTTTGCTGTATGAATATTTGAATATGCAATACACCAAAATAAAGATCAGAGCCTCTACTTTTAAACAAAAAAAAATCTGTTTTATTCTAACTTAACGCATTCTTGAATATAGGTAGGTTTCATAAAAAATGCATAACTTTGAGCAAAAAGGTGAGAAAATCACATTTTTATCAAAAACTACATATGGATAATATTCAGTACTTTGGTTCGTCTTCAGCCATGTCCAGCTACCTGTTCATAGTCAAATACGAGCTGCCGGAGGTGATTCGAGCTTTTCGCGGGCTGGAGGAGAACTCTGGGTAAGTCCCAGTGATGTTTAATGGGTATTTGTGTCTGTATAGCAGTAGATGAAAGCATAATAACTGATTTATGATGCAAATTTGCTGCAGTGTGAGTTTGTGGAGAGAAATATGGATCGATGCATCTATCAAACTTGTACAAAATCGATATATAAGATATAATTTTTTTTCATTATTTTTATATTATTTAACAAATACTAAAATGTGTTTTTTGTTGTAGATGTTCCAACTGGGATACATGATTTGCAATTTTCAATTAAATGTTCATGCATTTGTGAGTTTGCATTGCAAAATGATGTTCTTCCTCAGTATTTTGGTCTTTTTTTACCATTACAAATATCTAAACATTCTTAAATCAAGATGCATTTAGTCTTGATTTCTGAAAAGTGTATCAAAATGATGTTATTTTTAAAGATTCAGATTAGTTTTTAAGAATAAGATTTTTTATGTTAATGAAATTAATATGTACATTTTATATTTACTTTAAATAGATTAAAATATTTTAATTTTTTTAAATGTAGTAGTATTATTATTATTCTTTAGAATATATTTTAAATAATTAATAAATATATTACGACTTGTTTTCTTAAAAATGTAATATTTTTGCTTAAAATGAGAACTAATATCTGCCAGTGGGCTCAGAAAAATAAACCTTATTCAAAGGGAAAACAAGATTATTTTTCTTGTTAGTGAAATTTGTAAATTTTCTATCTATTTTAAATGGATTAAAAAATAAGTGTAATTTTCAAATGTATTATTATGTTTTAGAATATATTTAAAATAAATACTACAAATAATACGTTTAAGAAATTATGTCTTGTTTTTTGAAAAATGTATCAAAATTAAACAAGCTTATGCTAAGAACAGATATCTGCCAATGGGGTCAGAAAAATAGGATAAGTAAGGATATTTTTCTGATATTTTCTCTTTTTTAACTCTTTCCCTGTCAGCATTTTTGAAAAAAGTTGCCAGCCACCGCCAGTGATTTTGATGATTTTCATTAAAATTTGATGGCCTCCAGTATATTTTGCTGTATGAATATTTGAATATGCAATACACCAAAATAAAGATCAGAGCCTCTACTTTTAAACAAAAAAAAATCTGTTTTATTCTAACTTAACGCATTCTTGAATATAGGTAGGTTTCATAAAAAATGCATAACTTTGAGCAAAAAGGTGAGAAAATCACATTTTTATCAAAAACTACATATGGATAATATTCAGTACGATTATCAAAGCATAAATCCAGTAAATCGCTTCCATCAACACCACAGACATCACTTACTAGATCAACATTTTACTCCGTAACATTATGCCGTTTTCATTTATATGCGGTCTATTGCTGATGATCGCATTATTTTTCATATGCATCTGTTTACATAAGAGATCGCTGGTTTCTCCGTCATGTTCACGTGTGTTTTTGTTCGGGAAGTTTTGTACTCGTTCAGAAGATGTGTAATAGCGTCCCCGAGTGTATAACAGTGAAATCACGGAAAGCTGTAAAAACTCGTCTTTGGCGAGGAAGCGTTTTCTTCTAAAAGACGAGATAACTCGTCAATGGCGGGGAAAGAGTTAAATAAAAAACAAAACACTTCATTTTTATGCATTTCCAAGAAAACGACTTAATAGCTTATGTAGGGCTCCACGATTATGACAAAAATCATAATTGTCGATTATTCCCTTGAAATTGTAATTGCGATTATTAATTACGATTATCACAATTTACATTGAATGATGTTTATACCATTGTTTGATGCAACTGCATGCCGTATTTTTATATGAAAGTAAACAAGCTGAAAACACTAACTGAAAAACCTAGTATTAAGCCTCAAATGTCAAATATAGATCAGATTGGTTTCTTCTTTAAATTATAAAAAAAGTACAAATATGAATGGTATTATAATGTCATACTAAAACAATGAAAAAACCCTTAAGATAACATGTAGAAAGAAAAAAAGCATCTTAAGCGTGCAGAATAACATAAGTGGACTTTGAACAATTAATTGCCGCTTTGAACGATTACGTCATTGTGGCATCCGTAATTGCGATTAGAAATTTGATTAATTGTGCAGCCCTAAGCTTATGTAATTTTCCTTCTAATGACACTCTTCTGTAGAGTAGGGTTGTGACGGTGAGGAAATTTTCCCACCGGTTAATCGACGAGTGACAACATCAGTAATACCGGTATCACCGTTGGGGGGGGGGGTTGGTTCGTTATTCGGCGTCAAGCAATTGTTCGTTTGAGTTTTCCCTCTTTTGCTCGGATTTCTTGGCTTTCAAATAGCTTGAAAAAGCGCCGTGCGCGTTTTACTTTCACTTTCAAATTAGGGGCAATTCAGCGTTGATTCAATTCAAGCAACAACAACGTCAAACACAGAACTTTTATTAACAAAACGAATAAACACCATACACCATATAGGCCTAATAAAATAACAAATTACTTAGGCTACACACAGTTTAAATAGGTATATAAAACAGAAAATCAGCAAACACTGTGGAACCAAATAAATAAGAAACATAGAAAGTTTATTAGCAAAACGAACAAGAAAGCTTGGAGGCACGGCATATACACCTTGATGTAAAATAAAATAAATATAATACACAAAGTTTAAATAAAGTATTCAGCAAACACTGTGGAACCAAATAAATAAGAAACATAGAAAGTTTATTAGCAAAACGAACAAGAAAGCTTGGAGGCACGGCATATACACCTTGATGTAAAATAAAATAAATATAATACACAAAGTTTAAATAAAGTATTCAGCAAACACTGTGGAACCAAATAAATAAGAAACATAGAAAGTTTATTAGCAAAACGAACAAGAAAGCTTGGAGGCACGGCATATACACCTTGATGTAAAATAAAATAAATATAATACACAAAGTTTAAATAAAGTATTCAGCAAACACTGTGGAACCAAATAAATAAGAAACGAATGTTTAAAAAAAATGTCCAGACAATAGGCTTTTCAAAATCTAAAATATTGTCAAACAGGCGCCTTTGCATTTCCTTTCTAAACAATCTTCTGCCATCGGCTTGTCTTTCTCTCCTCACTCTTGTCAGTCAGCTCGACTCACTCTCCTCACGTGATAAATCAAATCTGACTCCTGTTGTTCGCACACGGTTCGGCACGCTGCATTGAGCGTTTAGTTTTTAAAAGTATCTGTCCTCTAACTGAACTGGGCTAAATGATTTTATATCGGTTTTACCGGTGTTAAGCCGCGGTAGGCTGTAGAGCTGTGTGCTGAAATAGTTTTATTTCTGTGCAGCTACTTTGAAACCGTCTGTATTGTATATTCTAATTCAGTCGTAATCACACCGCAGCATGTTTCGAGGTATTGTGGGATTGGATGGGATCATGATGAAACGCCCCGTTCTTGTTCTCTGTGCAGGGAATGGTATCTGAACGGGAATTACGCGGTGGTGTTGGTGTCCATCGGCATCATTCTCCCGCTGTCTCTGCTGAAAAACCTGGGTAAGACTTTGCTCTAAGTGTCAGGGAGGTTGAGTTTGTGAAGTGTGTGTGTGTGTAACTCTCGTTCTCGTCCCTCACATCAGGGTATCTGGGGTACACCAGCGGCTTCTCTCTCTCGTGCATGGTGTTCTTCCTGGGAGTGGTACGTTTACCGACGCTGTTCTCCTATCAGCTCACATGCCCGTGTGTTTTATATGATGTTACAACATTCATGTGTCAGTAAGAATAGTTCAGTAAAAATCATTTACTTACCCTCATGCTGTTCCAAACCAGTGTTCAGCTAGTATCATTGAGATACCATTATAGTTTTTATTAATATTTGACATTTACATTTAGACATTTATCCAAAACGACTTACAAATGAGGACAATAGAAGCAATCAAAATCAATGATATGCAAGTGCTATAAGTCTCAGTTAGCTTAATGCAGTACATGTAGCAAGGTTTTTTTTTTTAATCATATAATAAATAAAAATATTCCGATAGAATAGAAAAAGAATTGAGCAAGCTTGTGTTAGAGGCCCTTTTTGCTTTTGTTAGTTGTATAATAAATACTTTTTTTTTTTTTATTAATTTTAGAAGCAAGTATTATTTTTATTTTTAAATGTTGTTATTTTTTATTTTTATTTTAGTTTGTCATATTTAATAGTTTTTTTTAACGTCTATGTAGTTTTTATTTCTTTTTATTATAGTTTGTTATTTTAATATATAGTTTAACTGAATTAATAAAAATAAAAAAATACGTTTTTTATATTTTATTTGACATTTATTTTATGTAACAAAAATTTTATGCTTTTAGTTTTAGTTAACTATAATAACCCTGTTCAGAGCCTGTAATAACTAATTTTAGTTAACATTTTAATAATTGATTAATAATCATTTTCAATAATCGTATTTTTCTAAAATAAGTCTATATAGTTTTTTTTTATATATATATAGTTTTAGTTATTTAGCACATCAAGCTAAACTAAACTTCTTTAATTAACTTCGTTTTAATTTATTCACTTCAAGTAGCATTTTTTTTATAGTTTTAGTTTCAATAAATAACCTTCATAATAACCCTGATTCACTTTCATTCTCTGGACCACAAAACTAGTCGCAATTTAAGCAGATTTTTCATGTTTTCCAACATATATCCAACATCATAAATCCATTATTATGCTTCAGGAGATGTAGAAAGTTGTATGGACTACTTTTATGTGACCCATACAATGTATTGTTGGCTATTGCTACAAATATCCCCCAGCGACTCAACACTGCTTTTGTGCTGCAGGGTCACAGTCGCCGTTTTTGATGCTTGAAATGACACGAGGCTGATGTAAACGTTGACAGGACTTTCTCTTTCGGTTGAAATATTTCTTATGCATGGTTTCATCCATGTCAAAAAAAAAAAAACGGTCCTGCAAATATTATATTATTAATCTTTTTATCAACATCAGTTCTGATCAAAATTCAAAAAAATATTTTTATGCATTGTTTTTGTTTAGTGTTTTTTTTTTTTTACTATGTATGAGTACATGTTCCACAGGCCAAACCTGAGAAGAAAAGAGTAACATTTTAATAAATAAAAATTGTAAAGCCAACAGAATGATTTATTTTACTGTAATACAAATAATCTAAAAAAATAAAGTAATAATAAAAGTTTATGATAGGACAATATTTGACTGAGATACAACTGGAATCTGAGGGTGCAAAAAAATCAAAATATTGAGAAAATCATCTTTAAAGTTGTTCAAATGAAGTTCTTAGCAATGCATATTACTAATCAAACATTAAGTTTTGATATATTTACGGTAGGAAATTTACAAAATATCTTCATGGAACATGATCTTTACTTAATATCCTAATGATTTTTGGCATAAAGGAAAAATGTATAATTGTGACCCATACAATGTATTGTTGGCTATTGCTACAAATATCCCCCAGCGACTTAACACTGCTTTTGTGCTGCAGGGTCACAGTCGCCGTTTTTGATGCTTGAAATGAAACGTTGACAGGACTTTCTCTTTCGGTTGAAATATTTCTTATGCATGGTTTCATGACACTGTTGTGCACTGGTTTGATTTCTCAGCTGATCTATAAGAAGACGATCCTGCCCTGTCCTCTGCCGTTCTTCTACCAGCACGAGTCCAACATGAGCATGAACGGCTCGGACGCTCTGGGTCTGTACGTGCTGCAGAACGCCTCGGCACTGGCCTCTATATCAGCAGCGAACGGACCTCACGTGCCGGTGAACAGCGCCGTCCAGTTCACACCTCACCCTGAGGACGTGTGCACACCCAAATACTTTGTGTTCAACTCACAGGTGACGATGCTGACGATATGAGACAAATGTCATTAATCCTGTCAGTCGAGAAGATCCGTACTGTAAAGTGTGCGTGTGGAAAGAGCCTCACGGCGTTTGTTGTGTTTGTCTTTCAGACCGTGTACACCGTTCCCATCCTCGCCTTTGCTTTCGTGTGTCATCCTGAAGTTCTGCCCATCTACAGCGAACTCAAAGAGTGAGAAAAACTTTGTACATATGCAAAAAAATAAAGAAAAATGAAGAAAGCATCAGTATAGTCACATCTATACTGTCCAATAAATTAAAGACTAAAAAGTGACAAAAAAAAGAAGGAAATTTAGAACATTGGCTTGTATTATTATATTATATTATATTATTTAAATAGTTTTAAGTAGTTGTTTTTTATTATTATTATTACTTTTTTATTATTATTGTTGTTATTATTTTTAAATAGCATCAGGTCCAGTAACAAAAGTTCTGCCCATCTACAGCGAACTCAAAGAGTGAGAAAAACTTTGTACATATGCAAAAAAATAAAGAAAAATGAAGAAAGCATCAGTATAGTCACATCTATACTGTCCAATAAATTAAAGACTAAAAAGTGACAAAAACAAAGAAGGAAATTTAGAACATTGGCTTGTATTATTATATTATATTATATTATTTAAATAGTTTTAAGTAGTTTTTTTTTTTTAATAGCATCAGGTCCAGTAACAAAAACACTGAGATTTAGAAATTTGGCTTTATATTATATTATATTATATTATATTATATATAAATAGTTTTAAGTAATTTTTTTAATTATTATTATTATTATTACTTTTTTTAATTATTGTTATGTTATGTTATATTATTTAAATAGTTAAGTAGTTTTTTTTATTATTATTATTATTATTATTATTTTTAAATAGCATTAGGTCCAGTAACAAAAACACTGAGATTTAGAAATTTGGTTATGTTATGTTAATGTATTATAGTATTATATGTTAATGTATTATATTATTATTATATTTCAAATAGAATCTGCTGCAACAGCATGTTTTATAAATCTATAACACACATTGACAATTTTACTTTATTTTTTTTATTTTTCAAATGGCATCAGGTCCAGTAACAAAAACAATTGGATATTTGGATATTTTTATATGGTTTTGTATTGTTATATTACATATCAAATCAAATCTGATACCACCACAGTAATTTTTGGATAAACTGGAAAATAGTCTGAAGTTGACAATTACAAACGGCTGATATTGACTGATACCATTATAATCACATACCCAGAGGCTGTGATATATTTCATAAAGCTGATTCTGTTGTGACTCCTCGTGTTCTGCAGTCGCTCTCGGAGGAAGATGCAGAGGGTCTCAAACCTGTCCATCTTGGCGATGCTGGTGATGTACCTGTTCTCCGCTCTGTTCGGTTATCTGACGTTTTATGGTACATTACGCTCTTCTCATACACACCTTCAGCACACATTCCAGTCGAGAAGTTACTTGTTACCAAACCTCTCTCTCTCTGTCAGATCATGTCGAGGCAGAGCTGCTTCACACCTTCACCAAGGTCTACAAGTTTGACACGATGCTTCTTCTGGTGCGTTTGGCTGTGCTGACGGCGGTAACGCTGACCGTTCCCATTGTGCTGTTCCCTGTGAGTAACAAAACACACCTGTATGAGCATGTTGTGCTTCACCATCCTTCATTCTGATACACTTTGAAGTGTGTTTGATGCTCTTTTATTTATTCGTGTCCTCTTATTGTGGCCTGTCATGCATCGGCATCATTCTCCCACTGTCTCTGCTGAAAGAACATGCTTTTGTTTAATTTAACTTGATGTACTAAAATAACTAAAACTAATAAATAAAAAATTAATTAAACTATGTAGACATGAGAGGTGTAATGGTACACAAACATGACGGTTCGGTACAGCAGGGGGAAAAAACTAAACATAAAATTGCTTTTTTATTAAACAGTGGTTTATTGAACAAATGTGTCTTTCTTTAAATGTATTTAAAATTGTGATTAAATTTTTTTAGGGATAAAAATTAACAAATTTAAGTACTATTTATTTTTAAATATAATAATCAGTGCTCAAAAAATACAACAAATTTAAAAAACAAATAAAAAATAAAATTTATTATTTTAAAGAATTAAAATACATAGACACTTAAAAAAAAAAGCAAAACTAATAAAAATGCACAACAAAATTATTAAAACCTTAACTAAAATCAGTTGAAACAGAAAATAGAAAAATAAAAATCTAATTCAAAATATTAGCAAATTATAATAGAATATCAATGATACTAAAACCATAAAAAAATTACTTAAAAACTCTAAAAACATCTAAACTTTCAGCTAACATTTCAGCTAGTGGTTAAGGCAATATTTATATATATTAAAATATATTTATTTATAATAACTAAAACCAATACATAAAAAATATATAGACATTTAAGAAAATAAATAAATAATAAAAAGGACTAAAGCACACAACAAAATTATTAAAAACGCAAGTAAAATTAAAGTGAAATCAGAAAATAGAAAAATAAAATCTAATCCAAAATATTACTTAAAACTAGCATGGTATATCAGTGATACTAAAATAACACTGATTTGTTAAATGAACAATGTATTTTTCTGTCATGTGACAGACAGAGGGCGCTGGAGAGCTTCTTTCCCTCAAGCCCCGCCCTGTCTCTCTCTCTCTCTCTCTCTCTCTCTCTCTCTCACACACACACATACACACAGTGAGGGAGGGGCGATCAAAGCCAGTGGAATATTACCTGATGCAGTGCAGTGACCTTGCAAAAAGTGCAGTTACATTATGTGGCCACCGGTGGCGCTATAAACACACAAAACACTCCTGCAGCTCCTATAATCAGATCAGGTTTTCATTGAAGACAGAAATGAGCTGGTATTATTTGATTAGTTTGTCTAAAAACGTGAGAAGCTGCCGAACCTTGGCTGTTTAAACCGCTTTAGCATCAGATGGCTTGTGTGAAAGAGCACAGTTGAGCTGAGGCCTCACAGGTGCTCTGTGTTCATGAGCTTTACATCAGGGCCTGCAGAGTTTGTGCCATGTGACATTTTGTGTTTCCAAGGAGTTCCTGGCCTTCAAGTTGCTCTTAAATGTCACAGCCTTTGTCCGCGAGATTTCTTATGTTTTGTCTGAGGGCCAACAGAGACCTTGAGTCCGACTCGCAGACGACACACGCTAACAGAAACAAGACAGACGGGCGATACGAACCAACAGTTTTATTCTGAATGAGCATAAACGAGTCTCATCATGGAGTCTACTGAGGTCAGAGCGAACTCTCACACAGTGCTCTGAATCAAGGCTCTTGGTCGCTAGCGAGCACATTTGCTACTTGAGCAGTGACAGGTGTGCCGCTTCTGGACCCCGGGGCCCTTCAGCTCTAGTTTCACTTGTATCAGATGCTTTTGTATCAGATGCTTGATTCAATGAGGCCACGTTCTCGCTTCTCCTGATGAACGTACCTGTAGATGGATAGTTTGATTTAATACACTTTCAACAATCTGCAGAGTTACAAATGGGTTCAATATATAATAATTGATTACGTTTTTTATATGCATTTTTAACACATATTTTTGTTACAAATTATTATGTAATTTAATAAATTTTTTGAAGTATGATATATTAACATAATTTTTGTTATTATATCTAATTATTATTTAAATTTATTATTAATGAATTATTCAAAGGTATTAAAATAATATATATATTTATATATATATTAACATTTTAACATTATTAAATACATATTAAATATATTTTTACAAGCATTCTGTTAAAGTATCATACGATTTTTATTATTACTTGATTTTTTTTTTTATAATATTGGATTATATATTTATTAATAAGTTTATGAATATATACTTATTTTTTAAAAGTGTGTGTGTGTATATATATATATATATGTTTTAATATATTTATAACATAATATTGGTGTATATAACAGTTACATAATTTTAAATTCTATAGGTAAATATTAAATGTAAAAATATTATGTAAAATACTATTATGTATAATTATTGTTATATTTAATTATTAAATGGGTTATTTTTTAAAGTTTATTATTAAATGTGTATATATGCTTTTTAGTACTTTTTAAATATATATTTTATTTATTTTTATGATATATTTATTACAACTAGCTCTTTATGTTAGTTTGTGCTCTGGCTCTGTGATTAAGCCGGTCTGTCTGTAGGCTTGTCGTTCAGGTGTTTTGGTCGACAAACGGCTCTTTGATTCATGTGAGGTCAGTGCAGCCTGGGGTCAAAGGTCAAGTCAGTGCCTATGAGGGTCAGTGAGCTTCACTCACATGATCACGTATGCCAGTTTACACCTGACTGAGAGTAACACTACAGCTCCAAACTGTTTTGAGGTTACGGCCTTTATTTGAGTGTGAATGTGACTGTGCTGTTCCTCCACCAGAACCACATGGGTTTCTCTGGAAAGTGGTTTGTGTTGCTGTTCTGCAGCGGTGCTCGTCTTGATCTGGTTTTGTGGTTGATGACTGATCTCTCTCTGCGTCTGTCTTTGTGATCTCAGCAGCTATTTTTAGAGCCGTTTCTCTGAAACTAGCATGTTAAGCTACTTATTTCAAGTAAATAAACAACACCGAGGCTGTAAATGTAGTTATCTGCACTACAAACAACAGGCAGATAATTACACTGAAGCTATTTAGGGCAACTATATCTTATAGACATTTCTTAGATTATAGTATTTGTAAAATAGCAGAAGTAGCCTGTTTTCATGCCACAAAAACAATGACCTCAGATTTGAACTTGAACATGTAAATTTACACAACATACTACTGAAATATATTACTATATACTGTTATAACTAGTAACATAAAAATACTGCATTGAAAACGGCAGTGATTAAAAGCAGTATTTAACTATATACACTCGGTAAGATTTTTAATGTTTTTTAAAGTCACCAAGGCTGCATTTATTTGATCAAAATAGAGTAAAAAATTGTGAAATAATATTATAATTTAAACCAACTGTTTTCTAAGTGAATATGTTGCAAAATCTAATTTATTTCTGTGATCAAAGCTGTATTTTCAGCATCATTTACTGCAGTCTTCAGTGTCACATGATCTTCAGAAATCAGTATAATATGCTGAAAACACTTAATATGTTTATGGAAATTATTAATAGAAAGTTCAAAAGAACAGCATTTATTTGAAATATTAATCATATTTAACATTATAAATGCCTTTACTGTCACTTTAATGCGTCCTTGCTGAATAAAAGTAATGATTTCTTTCTCTTAAATTTTTATTGAACTAGTTTGCTTGAGATTAACAATCTAAACGACCTGAAAGAGCTTTTAAAAACCGCTGAGCTGCTCCACAACACTGAAGTAAACGGGAGAGAGGTCTGTCCTCGTCCTGACGTTAACTCTCAGACGAGCGTCCACCAGGAGGGTCACTAGGAAAATGTCACACGTCGGGTCCTGCGGTCGACACAGGGCTCCAGATGCGCTCGCCAGCAGATGCCGAATGCTTTGAGCTCGGACTGAAATGTGGCACCCAGGTGACGGCTGGAAAGCTCGGCTTTATGGAAGAGTCTCTTTGTTAAAGGACTGTCTGATCAGAGACGGTTATGCAACACTATCGCTTTTTAATGGACTCCATCTGCTCTCTGCTTCTTTAATGATGTGTCTTGAGCTCCAGGTGTTTTGAGAGGCTGCAAACGAACCAACCTGTAGTTAAAGGGGTCATATGATGCTGCTAAAAAGAACATTATTTTGTGTATTTGGTGTAATGAAATGTGTTTGTGGTTTAAGGTTCAAAAAACACATTATTTTCCACATACTGTACATTATTGTTTCTCCTCTATACCCCGCCTTTCTGAAACGCGACGATTTTTACAAAGCTCATTGGTCTGAAAAAGCGAGGTGTGCTGTGATTGGCCAGCTATCCAGTGCGTTGTGATTGGCCGAATACCTCAAGCGTGTGACGGAAATGTTACGCCCCTCACCATACTGTGATGCGCTGTCCGGCCGGAGCGACGAGACAAAAACATTAAAACCCATTATAAACGAGGCATTCGTTGCATCCAGTGGGGACATAATTACGGATTATAATAACTTGTACTGTCTTTTTACGCATTGCATTGCATCGCACCGCATAAACATAAAACCATGTCTGCATTTGTGATCGGAGAAATGACAAACAACAAGCACCAGGCACGGCGCCAGAATCTTTTCTCTACCAGTGTTAAGGGGGGGCTAGACCAATATGTGGGGGTGCTAAGAAAATAAATGATATTGATGACGTCAGAGTTACTTCATAAAGAAATGGGGCTAAACCGGGGCTATTAAAAATTCTGACTGGGCTATAGCCCCCCCTAGCCCTGGTGTAGCGCCGTCACTGACAAGCCCTACTCTACACTGCTCAAAACTCACGTTTGAATCGTCAGTGGCAAATCCTTTAAATATGAAAACATACTTACAGTCTGTGAGTCAGAACAGCCGGCATTGTAGTCTACTCTCCCAGGATCAGGAAACAGTCCTCCATAAAATGCGCTGCACACATCTGAATATTTGAGTTGAAGTGTTCTGGAACAGTGTTGTAAATACAACTTAACCACTGATTTCTAGTCGTGTCCTCTTTTGGAAGACCAAACAAAGTAGTTTCACTTTCACAACGAAACACAGCGTCTTCACGACATGGCGGCGGCAACAACAATACTACAGCGAGAATAAAAGTCACACCTTCTTTCTTTACGTGAACATTTGGGCGGCGTTATGCAAATCTTCCCACATAGTGAGGTAGATATGTGGGGGCGTGTTAGAACGAGGCGTTTTAGGTAGGCGTGGTTGACTCTTAACTTTTATAAAGAATATCTCTTTGGATTTGAGACTTTAGTCTTTGCAACTTTACAGATCTTATCTATGCACGAACAGCTTGTAACCCTCCAAAGAGAAAGGAAAACTTGAAATCGCATCATATGACCCCTTTAAAACCATCAAACTCGACTGATCAGCTTTGTCTGCTAAAATTCTTTTGGCGAAATAAAAATGCATTCAAATGAGTTGTTGACGCACCAAGAACCACCATATTTTATTGGACTACAGTTTTTAATGCAAATAGACAGTGTTTTTACTCACTGATGTATTTTTTTTTTAATCTTTAATGTTTTATATCGTTTTTCTTAATTGTACGACTTCACTTTGTTATTTCCATTAACATAATTAAAATAAATGATTAATTGTTGCAGCAAGAGTTTAGAGGTATACACTGCAAAAAACAAACTTATCTTTGTCTTATTTTTCAGTAAAATATCTGAACAATCATAAATTAAGACACATTTACTCGAGAAGCAAAATGACTTAAGATATTAAGTCTTATTTTCTGAAAAATTAATCAAAATTCAGTCCTTTTATGCTTACAAATATTATTTGTGAATGGAAAAACTAAACTTTTTTTCCCTTTGAATTGAGTTTATTTTTCTGACCCCATTTCTTAATAAAAAATATTACATATAATTAAAATGATAATATTAAACTGTAAATATATTAATAAATATATTATATATTTTGATCAATTATCTATTAGTAGTAGCATTAGTAGCATATTCAATTCATTATTTTAATAATGTATTGTTAATACAATTATATTTCCTAATTTATTAATATTATTAAAAGTACATATACTGTATAGTTGTTTTCTTATTTTAAGTACAAACTCGCTTAATTTGGAATTTTTTTAGAAAACTTTTTGAAAATGTAATCACTTTAGTAATTTTGCTTCTCAAGTAAATGTATTTTGATGTATGAACATTTAGATATTTGTACTGTAAAACGAAAACATTTCGTAAAAAGTGTTTACAGTGAATTTACAAGTTAATTGTTTACTACAATTTTCAGGAGCACTAGTGTATAGTTGCACTCAACATGAACTGAAAGCAACAAAACGGTTGGATTCACAAGCTTTTTAAAGACTCTTTCTATCATTCAAGGCACATCTGATCTCTATTCAGTGGATAAACTGAAATTGTATCTTTTAAAAGTTGAAAGTCCAGCTGCATTTAATGCGATCTCTGCTTGAGTGATCTGTCAAACTCTGTCAGTCAGCCGGTTATCCTGCTGCTGCTGCTGCTGGCTGATGCAACTCTACCACACGCTTACACTTGTAATCCTGTCTCAGGCTCCGCCCACTCAGTGTGTGTGTGTGTGTGTGTGTGTGTGTGTGTGTGTGTGAACTTTGGCCCAGTGTGAGCTGGTTCTCATGCTCCGAGCGGATCAGTTTGGGTCCTGTGACCTGTGCTCAGATAATTCACTCACCTGCTCTGGGTCATACAGTTCCTGCTCCATTCAGACTTCTGTGTGTGTGTGTGTGTGTGTGTGTGTGTGTTTGCAGTGCTTCAATAACTTTATAACAGTAATATTAAATCCAAATCGTGTTTCATATATGAAGTTATTTGCTTTCATTTGTTTCGAATCATCTGTAAAGCCGCCGGACGGTTGTTCTGGGACAGACTGGAGCTTTATTTCTGATGCAGCTTTAGCATTTCACGGTGTAAAGGCTTTCGATTACAGATTTTTAATGTGGTCTTAGAGATTTGGACCACAGTGCATATAAAAAAATGATGTGTATTATCCCTGCAGAGAACCATGTTTATTACAACAGCAACCACCCACATTACCTAGTTTTTTTTTATAATTAAAAAATTGATAAAATATTGAGAAAAAATTATTATTTTCACGTTTTAATCTCTATCCTCTATCTGTCTATCTATCAGTGTGTGTATGTATGTATATATATATATATATATATATATATATATAGGTATGTATTTTTTAAAAACGTTAATTTATTTGCTATATATATATATATATATATATATATAATTTTAATTTTTAACAAATGTGTAATGTGATTTTTTTTGTAATGTGAATGTAAATTTTTTGTTTTTGTTTTATACATTTAATATATATATGTGTGTGTATATATATATATATATATATATATATATATATATATATATATATTATAGAATTGTGTTTGTATTTCCCATTTCACTCACAATATTGTAAAATTGCTAAATCTAGTGGTCTTCTGTGTTTTCAGATTCGTTCGTCAGTCATCACGCTGTGTTTCGCTGGGAAAGAGTTCAGCTGGATCCGACACTTCCTCATCGCCGCTGCTATACTGGCCTTCAACAACCTCCTGGTGATCTTCGTCCCCACCATCAGAGACATCTTCGGCTTCATCGGTCAGTAGTTTCTCCACACTGTGCTTCTTAGTAGATGTGGCCCCTTTCCCTCTTGAGAGGAGAAGAAACGTGAACGCACACATATGAACTCCTCCTCTTCCTCCTGTAGGTTCGTCTGCAGCCACCATGCTCATCTTCATCCTACCGGCGGCGTTTTACCTGCGGCTGGTCAAGAGCTTACCGTTCAGATCACCGCAGAAAATATCTGTGAGTATAGACCATATATTATATTATATTACTTTTGCTACTTTATGCTTTTGACCTAACTCATTTATCATATTGATTTGAATATAATATTGATGTACCACATTCATTAAATACAAAAATACAAAGAGAGAGAATATAAATGTTATTCTTTATTATCAACACATGACGTGCATTAAACATCAGGGTTTCCTAAACTGCGGGGAAATTCAAGGGGGTTCGTGAATTGATCAAATTAATTAAATCATAAATATTTAAACTGAAAAAAATTGATATTAATAATAATAATGAAAATATTAGCTTAAAATCTTAGGGTAAATATTAAAATGATGTGTAAATAATATGTAATTATGTAGTCCATTTAAAAAAAGTAACTGTGATCTGATTAAAAGCATTTTAAAATGTTATATATATTCTAATAACTTACAAGTATTTAATTTTTGTAATTTGATTATGTAATCCATATGACATTTTATATATATGTATATATATAGGATATAAGTAATAAACAAGTAAAACTTTATATTAAATAAACAATTAACATGTTTTTAATTTATAGTAAAAAAACAATCAATATATTGTATAATGTGATTATTATATTAGATTTTATTTTAATGTTTTATTTTATGTAATGCTCTTTTTTTATTTTATATTTAATTATATTATATTATATAGAGTGTTCTATTCTATATATATGAAGAGTTCATTTGCAAAAACCAATCTCATTTTTATTAATTTTTTTTTCAGTAATCACGTTTTTTTTTTATTGCGCATTCCAAGTAATATCAATCTAACTGCATTATTCGGTTTTGTTTTTTTGTTGTTTTTTGTTAACGAGACCCATACGGCAATTTTTTTTTCTAGCCAAAATATATTTTAAATATATGTTGTAAAGATTGAAGTTAAAAGAAATATATTTTTAAAATTGAAAATATTTAGTTGCAACCTTCATATATCAAACTATATTTCAAAATGTATTTCCAATTCATTAATGTTGAATTTTTTTTTTATATGTTCACTTGTGTTATAGACAACAAATAAAGTTTTTCCTTAAATGTGACATGTGAGCATATTTTCTCGGACTGAATGTATATGGAGGGCAAAATTAATTTTTAAACGCTTTTAAAAATATTTTTTAAAAATATTTTCTAAATTATACAAAAAAATTGCCTAAATAAATATATTTTGAAACATATTTTAGCAAATATAAATATATTTTGGCCCTTTTTTGTATATTTTGAAATATAATTATATTTATTTTAAATATATTTAAAAATATATTTTTTTGTCATGTGGGTAGTTAATAAAAATACAAGTGTTAATTCATGTAAATTCACTTTTTATTTTTTTCTTATAATGTATTAGTAAATGTTGAAATTAACATTAACTAAGATTAATAAATTCTAAATTAAAAGTATTTTTCATTGTTAATTCATATAACTAACGTTAACAGTTGTAACCTTATTGTTAACACTTTCTTTATACACGTTCCAAAGAAAAACAAATGTCTGTATTCATAATTTTTCATCAAAATGTAAAAAACATTTCTGAGCATCCACTCAATTGTCATTTTCATATGTGATTACGGAAGTAAAATGGGTTGCGAATGTTGACATTTAATAGTATCAGGTTTAATCAGTGTTATTTTAGTAGTAGTATAGTTGAATACTATTATAATTTATCAATATTTTTTATTGTAATATTTTATTTTGGTTAACGTTTCATTTATTTCAAATAATGAAAATATTTTGTATGGTTTTAGTTTAATTACCCTGGATTAAATCATTCATAATGAATATAAATTAATATGACATTGTTTTATACTGTATATATATGTATATAAACTATCTATTTATTAAAACATATAGTTTTATTTAAAATATTTAAAGAATTTTCACAATGAAATTGCAGAAAACTACATAATTTTTTATAATTTCATAGTTTTCTTTACATGCATGTAATGAAATAACTTTACAATTGATTTACCAAACAATAAGTCATGGCAATGAGATTTGTTAATCCTGGTACACGGCACACATTGCACAATAAACACATTCAGCGCACATTGCACAATAAACCTGTGAGATCTGAGGCGAGAATGCAGAATGATACAGCTAAAATTGTAAAGGAGTGTCTGTTTGGTTTGTTGGTATGTGTGTTGGCATGAGGAAATAAAAGCTCAACATTAGCCAGATGGCAGAGAATGCAAGCAAGAAAGTTCTAATAATGAAAAGAATGTCTTGTAGTATGTTTTTATGTCTTTTATGTGACTGTAGATTGTCTGGGGATCAAATAAAGTCAACAACACCAGCCTGTCATCTTTGTAAGCAGCCATACTGGTGTATAGAGAAATAAGACAACACTTCATCCGAGAAAAGATGCTCTGTTAAAGCAAAACCTGAACAACAGTTCCCTGTGCATTTCTGATGTCTCCGCATCAAAGCTGTGTACAGTCAGCATTACAGCGCCCATAGAAACAAGTTCTGAGATTTTGCTGACTCATAATGCACACACACAAATGCATTGCAACCGATTAAATATTCTCTAGAACCAAAACGGGGAAATCTCGGGACCATTCCTCAAGAACATTATGCAAACTTGTCCATACAAGCATCAGTAATGGATATAACCAATGCCCTTTCAAAATGACATGTCAACGCAGGAAGGAAAACTGTGCGTTTAAGGCAGATTCATGTTTAGAAGTAGCAATTAAGAGTGCTTTGTTTGTTAAGTCCTGTAAAAACAGAGGCTGCACCCAGCCCTGAGAAAACATTCACTTTATATGACCTGAAAAAGACATCCTTCACCTGTTATGTTCACACAATACTTTAATCATTCGATAATTATCATAAATGAAACGCTGAGGCCTGTAAGGAACATAAGATGCCTTGAGGTGACGCTCGATAAAAATATAACCACACCTGTCTGTTAGCATTTTTATTAGACAATGTTTTTCTCAAGTGGAATGAACTAGTGGAATGTTGCTCATATCAGGGTTTGGTACGTAACAACCTTTGGGTGCTAGACATGAATCATTGCTATAAATCCCATAGACGAACACTGAAGAGGGACGCGAACCAAATCTAGAGCTCTTTTGGCTTGGCGACCAGGCAACCACAAGTAACACAAGTTTACACTGCATAAATGGCACCTCTGAGCTGCATGAAACAGTCAGTGTTACTAAGCACTGCAAAGGTGGCACAGAAACATTTCTGAAGTGCATTTAGGTGTCTTTACACAGACTGTTTAATGCTGCTCAGAGGTGGCATAGATGCATTTACACAAAAATGATATTAAAAACTGGGGCTGAGGTGGGTCAGAGCAGGCACAATTTAATCTGGCTTTTATATGCCAGTGTGTCTTGACACAGAATTTTGAGCAGGCACAGAGCAGCCTTAACTTGGCTGTGTAAAGATACTTTGTGTAAATGCCACTTAAGAAGCACCTCTGTGCTGCCTTTGCGTGTAAATTTGGCAAAAGTAAATCCTAAGCAGGCATAGTCTGGCTTTTGTGCGGCATTGTGTCTTGATACTGAATTCTGAGCAGGCACAGAGCAGCCTTAACTTGACTATGTTAAGACACCATTAGAACACCTTAGCAGCTACATAGCAATGCCCTGGCAACACCCAAGAATCATGGCCATGTAAATTTGGCAAAAGTAAGCCCTAAGTAGGTATATCATTACATCTTTACATTGAATTTTGAGCAGGCACAGCAGCCTTATCTTGGCTGGTAAAGATGCCATTTAAATGCCTTTGCACTCATCAGAACACTCTAGAATGGTGTCAGTGAGTTTTGGTCTATAGTGTGATGAGCCTGCAGTGAGTGAGTTGTGCTTTAATTATGCTAAAGGTGTTTGATGAGTCATTGTAGCAGGCAGTGCCACATTACTCTGAAAGCTGGAGTTACAGCACAAATGACCCCAAAATCTCAATCCCCAGGGATTCTGCTGTTGGTGTAGTGTTAAACATCCAGAGAGAGGCCAATGAGGTCATTTAAGGATTGTGTTCCCTCGTTTGACAGGGCTTGTCAGTGGAACATGTGAACACAAGCAAACTAAAATGACCCAGACTACATTAAATAAACACTCGCAGAGAGGATCGGTGTGGAGATTCAAGAGACATTTAGAAAACAAAACTGTCGGTTTTCCAGTTCAGCCAATATCATGTTTATAATTGTGCATGTTGTTTGGTCTATGTGGTTCATGGTGATAATAATAAACTTCAATGTTTAACTTGTAGGGCAATTTTATTTACTTTTTCATGATAGTGGTGGTACTGTGTTGTGTCACCACTTGAAGTCCAATGTAAAACCTGCATCTTGAAGCAAAAGAAAATCTCTCAACAAGTATGAATACACATACGCACCATAAATCAACCTTTGATCACGATGGCTAAGGTGATTTTGAAGGAAGCTTGCGCTCTCATGCTCTCTCAGACACACCCTCAGGTTTCCAGATACGTAACTCTGTTCTCAGTGGCGAATGCTTTCAAGCTTACACAAACAATGCTTCACCTAACAGCACAGGTCACGTAGAAAGCTTGACTCGGGAGCTTTTGAATGAAGCTGAACACCTCATTTCAGTCATTTGTTTTAACATGCATCTGCTCTCTCTGTCTTTGAGCCACAAAGTATTTGTATTTGTTGGTGTAGTTGCATCCCAGGTAACAAATTTAGGTTATAAAAACGTTGTAGGAACATTGTTTTGAAATGTTTCTAAAACGTTGAAATGTCCAATTTTGTTGTCGGGATTATATCAACGTTTCTTGCAGCGTTCTACTAACTTTTTCACCCACAACGTTATTTGAACGTTTATTTTTAATATTTTAAGAACTCTAGAATGTCCATTTTTCTTGTTGTGTTTAGAACATTGTTGAAAGGTTTCAAAAACGTTTCTAGAACATTCATAAAGTACAAATGAAATCATAAGGACATTTTCTAGGAACGTTTTCTCTCAACATTATGAGAATGTATTTCAAATGTCAATAAAGTGATAAGAACATTCCATAAACATTAATGTTTTGTCCTAACATTTATATAACTTTGAAAAAACATTAGTGGAAGTTGTGACA